AAATGGAGAGAAGGAAATGAAAAAAGAGAGGAGAGCAACAGAAACATCAATGGACAAAAAGAAAAGGGAGAAGGGAAGATAAAGAGAGGAAGCAAAAGAGAGATGGAGAAAAAGTGATGGAGAGAGACGAGAGAAATAGGGAGAGAAAGAAAGTGAGCAAAGAGGGAGAGAGAAAACAAGAGAAGACAGAGAAAGAAACCTAAGAGAGAAAGAAAGAATAGAAGAATGAAAAGGAAGAGAAAGGAAAGACAGAGAAGGAAACAGAGAGAGAGAAAAAGAAAGAGAGAGAGAGAGGGAAAAATAGAGATGAAAGAGGGAGAAAGCAAGAAAGAAAAAGTGAGAGACACAATGGGAGAGAAAAAAGCGAGAGAGAGAGAGAGAGAGTGAAAGGAAGAGAGCAAGAAGGTAAGTAAGACAGAAAGAGAGAGAGAGAGGGACACCAGGAGAGAAAGAAAGAGAAAACAGAGAAGAAAGATAAAGAAAGGAAGAGAAGATGGAGAGAAATGGAGAGAGCGAGTGAAGGAGAGAGCGAGTCAAGGAGAGAGTGAGTCTGCTGCAGTGGGCAGTGAGCTGTGCTGCAGATCTGCGCTCTGATAGGCTGTTAGATTGCTTTCTCTCAGCGCTGAGGGTCCAGGTTTAGTCCACTGTTTGGTATGAACAGATTCGCTCCCAGGAGCTTCACTGCCTCCCCATTTATCACACGCACTGTCACTGGAAAAGAGCTCCTGCTCCGACTGCTGGCACACTCACCTCACCCAGCCCGCCGCCGCAGACCCCCTTCAGACTCCCAGCGGACACACAGTGCCAGCTCTCGCAAAGCTTACCATTAAAAACGGATCTAATGGAGGAGCTCTGTGATCCTTCCCAGGAGGAGTTTGGCCTGGTAATGGTGTGAAAGAGAGGCATAGAAACAGAAAGAGAGAGAGCGAGAGAGAGAGACAGAGAGAGACAGAGAGAGAGAGAGCAAGACAGAGATGGTTGATAGCACTGACTTTTCCATCTCATAGTGAGTAATACTGCAGCTCACATCCTGATACTCTTAAAAGACTGCTTCTGCTCAGAACGAGCAAACTTATGGTTTCTACAGTGAAAACTGATCATGGACATGATTTTTTTTACTATTACTTCTTTCAGGATTTGTTCTCTCTCACTTTCTCTGTTCATAAGACACAAACATTTCTCAGTGGTCTGAAAAGCAGCAATTAGGAACATATAGGATGCAAAATGCTTCTGAATCAACTCAATACTTTGGGACATTAGAATCATTTGAATTTAATGAAATTATTTTTTTTCCTTTTTATCTGTATTTTTTTCCTTTTTATCTGAATTTTTTTCCTTTTTATCTGTATTCTGCTGCTGTGTAAATAGTTCCTTCAGTCACTCTTGAGTACTCTTGATATATATTAAAAAAGCCTGTTGCTCTTTATGTTGTATGTTATGTTGTAAATTTCATGATGAATAGACCAGAAGAAATGGTTCAAAATTGTATATATATACACACACACACACACACACACACACACACATATATATATATATATATATATATATATATATATATATATATATATATATATATACACATACTTTAATTAGCCTATAAATTATTCTAATGTTATTCTAACAAGTCAATTCAGTTGAATCATCACCTTAAGATGCATTTTGCTCCTAACTGCTGCTTTTAAGACCACTGGGAAGTGTTTGTGGCTTATGAATAGAGAAGTCCTGAAACAGGTAATAGTAAAAAAAAAATATTTCCATATTCATATATACAAAATAGCTTATACATTATTCTAACATTTCAAATTAATATATATATATATCTTTTTTTTAAATACTCAAATGTGACTGGAGAAACTGATTATAGTAATTAAGATAGATAGATAGAGATCAAATACCCTGGAAAGTATGTTAACATCTCCTCTATGGAAAAAACTGAAATACTGAAATAGCGATATTTCTGCAAAAGGTACTGCACAATTATTGGAACAATACACACAATATAAAATGTATAATAAATAAATGAATAAATAAATAAAATATCAGTTTTGGCTCAGTGTTGGTTAAATCAGGTGTGCTGCTGGTGGAATAATAATAAGGAATTCTTCTAACCAGCTCAAACGTTATCAACTACTTTCTGAAAACATGGACTTGTCATTACTTTTACTGCATTAATGCTTGTCTTTATTTATTCTGATGTTATACAGTGCAAAAACACATGTATTGTGTATATAGATGATTTTAAAACTAATTGTTTAACTGACTTTTATGCAGTACTGTATAAGAGAGGTGTTTATCCTACAAAACCGTTGGCTGGAGTCACATTTATTCCAGTTTTTCAGCATAGAACATTTTACAATTACTGCTAAAACACTGCTAACACTAGTAATCGTGTTGTTTTTTTTTTGTTTTGTTTTTTTTTACGTGAGGACCAATTAAATCCGCCCATCCCTTGCAGGCAGCAACACAGAGGCATGGGGGGACACCCTGCGTTCGTTTGGACAAGCTGCCTGAGGAACACACAGCTGGGCTTTGTGTGTGCATCAGCTGGCCTCGTTGAATCAGATACGACTTTGGATTTTCTGAAGTGAACCGCTCCGCCTGTGAACTGATTATGCAACCTGTTTCCATCATTTCTAAAAGAGTCACTCTCAGGCCTCTGCCGTCGGCCCCCGGCCCCACCAAGAGCATGAGAAAAAGAGCGTATTACACATGAGGCAGTCACTGAGAGCCGGCATTGTGGTCAGAGACAGATTCACTGACGTGGAGTTTCATCAGGAACGAATGCGAATACAAATTGCTCTGGCAAGCACAGCGCTGCGTTTTTCTTGCATAACACAGTCGACGTGTACACACACATTCGCAGGGGAGGATAAACCCTCACACGCACAGCCTCATAAACACAGGAACAAACAGAGGCACAAAAACACAAACAGAAAGAGGGGCCACACAGAGACGGAGGCAAATGAAAATACACAGGCCGTATCTGACTAACGACTCTGAAAGTGACGAATGAAGATGTATAGCTAGGTTTGTTTTCACAAGTGTAACACATCATCCGTCTTTCTGTTCACGATGTTTCAAAAGTCTCCTGCATAGAATTACAGCATATGTACTGTAATACTGCCTGGAACAGTTCTCAGTAGCTTTAAAAGCAGCTGTCAGGAATCTGCAGCCAGCAGGTCAGACACTGCTGCTGCACACGCGGCCTTCATCGACAACAACAACAGGACCGCACGGGCACCAGTCGTACCCTCTGTTAGTGAACTCCAGCCCTGCTGTGCTGCCGGATCAGAACATTCTGACTGTTACTCTAAATGGTCCACTTTACCTGTGACCCTGCTGATCACCCCTCTGTCCACTCCACTCCATGTCCACTGGTGTCTGCTTATGCAGTGAACTGCTTCGTACGCTGTTCCCAAAGCTCCACGTCTCTAATGAGCTGTTTCATTTTTCTACAGTAAATTTGTTTACAGAGCTCTGAAGTTTGTATGTTTTACAAGCATAAGAAAATAAGCAGAGTTTTATCTTGATGGACTGAATGATTTGACATGAACAGAAACTGAGCGGGACTTGAGGGGATTTCAGAGAGAGAGAGAGAGAGAGAGAGAAAGAGAGAGAGAGAGAGAACAACAGAGGAAAAATTCCAGAAAAAAATAAACAACTACTAAAAAGACACAGAAAAAAAGAAAGAAAGAAAGAAAGAAAGAAAGTTGAATATAGTGTTATAAAAAAGAAAGAAAGAAAGAAAGAAAGAAAGTTGAATATAGTGTTATAAAAAAGAAAGAAAGAAAGAACGAAAGAAAGAAAGAAAGTGGAATATAGTGTTATAAAAAAGAAAGAAAGAAACAAACAAACAAACAAAACAAAAGAAAGAAAGCTGAGTAGTGTTTTTATGAAGAAAGAAACAAAGAAAGAAAGAAAACAAAATAAAAGAAAGTTGAGTAGTGTTTTTATGAAGAAAGAAAGAAAGAAAACAAAAGAAAGAAAGTTGAGTATAGTGTTTTATGAAGAAAGAAAGAAAGAAAGAGAAAGAAAGAATGAAAGAAAGAAAAACAAAAGAAAGAAAGTTGAGTATAGTGTTTTTATGAAGAAAGAAAGAAAGAAAGAAAGAAAGAAAGAAAGAAGAAAGAAAGAAAGAAAGAAAGAATGAAAGAAAGAAAACAAAGGAAAGAAAGCTGAGTATAGTGTTTTTATGAAGAAAGAAAGAAAGAAAGAAAGAAAGTTTAATATACTTTTGTTACTGTGCACCAAAGGAACACATAAAGAAAAAACAAAACAAAGAAAGAAAGAAAGAAAGAAAGCTTGGTAGCTTTACTGTACACCAGTGAGAAATGTATAAAACAGAGAGAAAGGTAGACGGTGAAGGAAAGAAAAACAGACTGACTTTCATTTACACAAAAGAGAGAACACAAATCAGACCTCTGCACACTGACGAAACCAGACAAATGGACAGGCAGACAGACAGACAGACAGACAGACAGGCAGGCAGGCAGGCAGGCAGGCAGGCAGACGGACAGACAGACAGACAGGCTGTAGGCCACTTTAGGAACAAAGTCCATTTTAATTCTGTCTCTCTCTCATGGTGACTTGTAGGCTTGTGAGGCAAAAGCCCTCAAACCAGAAACATGAGACTGGATGGAAATTTAATTGCTTTATGTTTGGTTGAGGAGACAGATTGGATTTAATGAGAGCTTAAGCATTTTCTGTCTAATGTCTCTAAAACAGTAGCTGAGGCTGCACTATTAATCTGGGGAGCGTGCGGGAGACACACTTCTAATGAGCTCATTTGATTTGCAATCTGTTTCTCTTCATTGTTCTTACTCTGCACTCTCTCAAAATAAGGGCGGTGAAAATAGCAGGGCGAGAAGTGAAAACCATTTCATCTGGCCTGGCTTAAAAAGGTTTAAGCCAATTTGTTAACACAATATGTGTCTGTGCTTGATTGGTGTGAGTGTGTGCGTCCTTCTCTTTTGCCGCTCACGTTCTTCATGTCTTAGTTTCCAGGTTGCAGGCATGACGACGGGTTCGTGGGAAGTGGATTTGACTCGGTCCAACAGTTCCGCTCTCAGAACGGACCTGGCCGGCTCTCTGTTCAACCTGAGCAGCAGCTTCAGTGGTACCGAGGCCTTCCTGTGGCTGCTGCCTTCAGAGAACGGCTCCTGGGGACCCACGCTGGCACCGGCCGGTTCGGCACGGGTGCGGGACCAGGCGCTGGCCCGGGCTGAGATCGGGGTGCTGGGGCTGGTGCTGGCGCTCACCACCCTGGGCAACAGCTTCGTGCTGTGGGTGCTGCTGCGCAGAAGGAAACACCACGCGCCCATGCACCTCTTCATGATCAACCTGTGCGTTGCTGATCTGGTGGTGGCCTTCTTCCAGGTTAGACTGCTAACAGTACACACAGTAGTGCAGTACATAGATAAAGTTTGAAAACCATGATCTTTCATTTTGCTCATTAAAATAATAAATTGCTTGGAATTTGATAATTATTTAGTCTGTTCACCTGCATTTCATGCCTATCTAGATTTGAGGTTTGATTACATGACAACAGTGGCAAACTATGATTATTAGAACTGGACTTAATTGTTAAAACGTGGTCAAAACGAGGGAAAAAACACTTTTATGATAATACTAATTACCGCTAGCGCCCTTATGGGATTCTAATAGTATGTTAATGTTGAGCTTACGCAATTAGCTTGAATATTTTTTGGCAGTTCTAGATTAAACATTGACATTTTAAGCATGTAAAAGATATTCCATGTTTTATTTTAAGCTACTAACAGATATATTAATGTATAATTTACCTTGTTGCAGTTTTAGAGTGACTAATTTTTCTCACAATTTTTATCTCACCCCTGGAAATTAAAGCATAATTGGTTGTTTCCACTGTCACTTCCTAATGTTGGTGGTTAATCTGACACATTAGGCCTTCAGTTCAGCTCCTGAAGTCCTAACCAATGGGAGATGCTCACTTGGCTGTATCTACCTAGATATTACAGAGAAAAAATCCTGATTGGACAATTGTCTTTTGTGCATTTCATGAATTTTACCCCTTTGTTTCTGACAAAAATTTAACAATGAAATAAGAGTATATTTACAATACTTGCAGATATTAAATGCAACATGATGAATTCTATTAAATGAAAATATTATTTTTTATTTCACAGAAATCAACAGGATTTCTTAAAGAATTCCCTGAATATTTTCCATTTCAACACAGCTACTACAGAACCATCTGAATCTGAACAGTCTTTCGGTTTTGTTAAGGATTCAGAAAACAACCTTGAAGGAGACGCTTTACAAATAACCTTTTTTTTTCTACAAACATATTACTGAGGGCCAAAAGTGGTTCTTCTACGAAGCATCAACTGAAAGGTTCTTCAGGGAACCAAAATCGCTTCTTCTCTGACATCACTCCAAAGAACTCTTTATGATACCACCTTTATTTTTAGGTGTGATTTGAGGATATTTAACAACTTGGGTTTGGGTAGAGCTGTTTTAACAATGGTTTAATGGCCTTGTCCTAAACATATTGGATTTCCTGCCCTCATTTCCCCTCTCATGGAGTGACAGTTGGGAGACATGGAGAGGAAGTTGGCAGGGAGTTTCGGAGCATGGCCTTTAACTTGTTAAATCCATCCACACTCCTCCTGCAGGTTCTGCCGCAGCTGCTGTGGGACATCACCGAGCGTTTCCAGGGCCCTGACGCACTGTGCCGATCTGTCAAATACCTGCAGATCGTGGGGATGTTCGCCTCCTCATACATGATCGTCGCCATGACAGTAGACCGCCACTATGCCATCTGCTGCCCTTTGCAGGCGTACAGAGGAGGTGAAACCTCACGCTGGAATACCCCCATTATGGTGGCCTGGGGGCTTGCCCTGGTACTCAGTTTACCCCAGGTGAGAACTACAGGGACAAGATGTAAAAGATGTACAAATTTACACATAGATGCTTGATCGATGGAAAGTCGGTAAGTGATGAGTGGGATCCATAGAGTGGGATCTATCTGGGATATAATCTGAGTTAACAGTTTATTTGAGGTACATTTTATCAGGTTCATCCCCCATATGGGTGCCATCTACCCCTTCCATTAGTGGAAAGGGACCACTGCTGACCAGATACTACTTAGGTGGTGGACCATTCTCACATAGCATTGATACTGACATGGTAATGACATCTTAGTCGGTGTTGCACTGGTATCAGAGTACAAGTGTATCAGTTACAGCAAAGTTGGTAGTGTTTCTTCACACTTAGGTTGAGAATAGTCCACCAACCAAAAATATCTAGCCAACATTGGTCATAAGGTCCGAAACTGACCACCAATATTAGATGATGACTGATGAAAACTGTACATATATGAGCTATAATACTGTGCAAAAGACGACTCTTCACTGATCTAATTTTCAGTCAAAACAGCCATTAAGTACTTCATTTTTAGAGATGTTTAAGAGGAGATTAGATATAAAATAGTCCTTTGCCTATTGAGGCGGAACGTCAGGTGAAAAAGACAGAGAGAAAATGGGCTTCCTTACAACCATGCAAGATTTGGTAGATCACCAAAACTGGCATCAGATAAACGGCATTGAAAGCATTTATCTTTGAGAAAATCAAGCTCCACTCTTGCTTTAGATCTGAAAAAATCCATTAATGTTTCTGTCCATCCTTCCACTGCGAGAAGACAACTCAGCACTATGAGTCTGAAAGGGTGTGTAGCTGTCAAGAAGCTGTTACTGAGAAAAGGAAACAGACAAAAAAGAAGAAAATATCCAATTCAAACAAAGAAGCTGCTGGTGTTCTAAGAGCAATGGACTGACCACCCCAGAGACCAGATCTCAACATCACTGAATGTGTTTGGTATCACTTGGACTGTGAAAATGCAACCAACTTCTAAGACTGAACTCTGGAGATGTGCAAAAATGTCCCTGGAGATTTCTTTGCTCCTGAAAAGAATGGGATGTGCGCTCTTGTAAAAGTAAAGGGTGGAGAAATTAAATATTGAAAAATTGATATTAGTTACTTGCCGTTTTGACTGTAAGTTGAATATGTGATGGGTGGTCTCTGATTTTTCCGTTATACCGTAAAATGTCACCCACAAGGTGCACCAACAAAGTAGGTGTGTGTAATAAAGTGGCCAATTTGCTGTGCTTAGAATGTTCCACCACCCAAATGATTCCTGATCATTGTTGGTCAGGTATTACTGGTCAGCAAAAGATGAGCGACAGTCTGTCACTGTCAACCTACAAAGTGCACCTATATGGTAGGTGTATCTGATTAAATAGCCCATAAGTGTAGCTACAAAGTAGGTGTAAGAAAGTGAAAACTCTCTTTGTAAATATAAACTGGAGGTTCTAGTTGTATTTGGTGGCCTCACTTTACTCTATCTGACCAACAGGTCTTCATCTTCTCACGGTCAGAGGTGGCCCCAGGGGAGTTTGAGTGCTGGGGCCACTTTGCTGAGCCATGGGGCCTCAAAGCCTATGTCACCTGGATGACTGTGGCCGTCTTCATCCTACCAGCGCTCATCATCACCGTCTGTCAGGTAGCTCCTCCCCTTTGTTTGTCCTGCCTCTCTCTCTCTCACACATGCTTCAGTATGTGACTTGTTTTGGTTCTGTCTTGGAGGAAAGGTTTTCTCTGATATGCTGGATAATCTTCTTCTTTGCTGTGCAATCATGATTTTCCACGCTGCCTCTCAGGCTGGTCGGTTTAATGTAGGGCTTTCCTTTTACAATCCGTGCGGATACTGTTGGACCCAAACCCACATGTGGTGGTATGAGTCAAACTGGACAGCAAAGCACATGCAACATCATGCACAAATCCAGAGTAATCTACCTAGACGGCTGGAGATTATCAGATTGTCTACAGTGTCAACAGTTATGTACTGCGGTTGGAGTTCTCATTCTCAAGGGCCCACGCTTTCAGCCTCTAACTGTGCCAGAGGAAGTGATTCAAAGCCTCGTCACCTCATTTGAACTGTTTATAGAAAGGCTCCTCAGGGGATCCAGTAATTTTCTATGATTAAATAAAAGTACTTGTAATGTATTCATAAGTTACTTCCACTTATGAACACATATTTCTCAAAAAATAGTTTTAACTTTCGTAAAGCTATGGCCAGCAGAGAGTTAGCCACAGTTACTTGCCCCGACCAGCATTGCACCATGGAATAGCAAGGGGAGCTTCCCTCGGGAATCTGCTTGGCTCCCCCAGAAGTTCAGCTACAGCTGGCATTCAGTATTGATCAAAGGTCAGAGACCCCCTTTCATTCATTTTATTTCTAGTCAAAATGGCCATTGAGTACAAATTCATTTTTCAGCATCACGAGAAAGAAGAAAACATAGTGTTGTGCAAAGATTTCAGGCACCAGGAAAACAATAGGTGACAATTTATTTTGAGTCCTTTTAGATGAAACAAACACTCAATAGACTCTCAGCAACATGTTAAAAACATATGAGGATTAGGATTAGGTGTTGGGTTTAGGTTAAGGTTAGGATTCGGTTTAGGACCAGGGTTAGGGTTAGTAAGGGTTGGTAAGGTTAGGTTTTGTGTAATGGAAGTAACATAATAACAACACATCTACTTAATGTTCGTAATGTATCAACAGAACATCTTCAAGGTATTTATTTCAGTGTATTCAGATGCTTCACTGCTGCTACTTCACTGATACGTTGTTGATGTGTTACTGATAATCTATTAAGAGTTTATTAATCATCTCCAAAGGACGACTCAAAATGAAGTGTTACCAAATAATATTTGGAAAGAAAAACACTGTGTGGAGTTTGCATGTTCTCCCCGTGTCTGTGTGGGTTTCCTCCAGGTGCTACGGTTTCCTCCCACAGTCCAAAGACAGGCCAATTGGAGATGCTTAATCACCCCTAGAAGTGAGTGTGTATATGTCTGTGTGTCTGTCCTACAATGGACTAGCGACCTGTTTCCTGCTGTCCACCCAGTGACCGCTGGCATAGGTTCCAGCACCCCCCACGACCCAGAAGGATAAGCAGCGTAGAAAATGTGTGTGTGTGTGTGTGTGTGTGTGTGTGTGCTTAGGTGCCAAAAACTTTGCACATTATTATACATTTAACAAAAAATATTTTTGCACACCTCTAAAGTTCTTCTTGTTAAGTCTTAGAAGCTGGTTGCATTTTCTGTTGCTTATAATGCAAGTAATGTCAAACACATTCAATGATGTTGAGGTCTGGACTCTGGGGTGGTCAGTCCATTGTTCTGAGAACGTCAGCAGCTTCTTTGTTTTATTGGCTTTTTCTTTTTTCTCATTAACATCTACATGACAGCTACACATCCTTCCAGTTAGGGTTTAGATGTTTTCTCACAGTGGAAGGATGGACAGAAACACTTGAGGGTTTTTTAGATCTGAAGCAGCTTGATTTTCTCCTCTCTCTCAAAGATAAAGGCTCCAGGTACTATTTATGTGATGGTGAAGTTTTGTTGGTCCACAAGGTCTTGCACGGCTGTTATGATGCCCATTTTTTCTGTATCTTTTAATCTGTTTTTCACCTATTTTTCTTTGACTTTCCATTTCCTCATGCAAGTGTATTACACACATTTAGTCTCCTCAGAAATGACCCCTGAAAATGAATAACTTATACTTAATGGCCATTTTGTTTGAAATAAAATAAATAAAGGGTCTCTGATTTTGCACAGTACTATATTATCTGCAAACTCACTACTCATGATTAGCTTGGCTCACATCATTGTATACATAGTAAAGATTACTTCTCCAGGTTGTGTTTATATTGTGTAGCTACATTCAGTGAGCAGGTCCGGCATTGTGAGTGCAGCATTGTTCAACAACGTTCTGTCTCATCCTTTCGTGTCAGGTGCGCATCTTCAGAGAGATCCACGACAACATCTACCTGAAGTCGGAGCGGATGGTAACGGCGGAGTTTAAGCGGAACTCCGTGCTCTTTCATTTCCCTCAGAGAGAAGGGCATCGTGGGAGGGCCTGCAGTGCTAGAGACAGAGATGGGCAGGGCAGTCACCATCATCAGATGGACAGCGGCTACCACGGCCGGCCTCGGGGAAGCCCCTTTCGGCCCCCATCTTCCCCCACTGACCAGAACTCATTTGACAGTTTCTCCTTCACCTGCGACCCCTGCGCCGTGCCTCTTCCTTCTTCAGAAGTCTCCACCTCGAGCACACCCCAAATACAGAACTTACAGAACTTCACTGCTGACCAAGCCCCTACCTCTCCTTCTAACCCCTCTCACTCGCGGCCAGCCAATAGCATCTGTGTCCGGTCCAGAGGCTCCTCCTCACTGGCCGGACAGCTCTCTGGAGCTCCTGACTTGTGGCCGGACGTGCTCCCAGACACAGCAGCCATGGGCCTGCCCGCTCAGTATCCTCCCCTTCCGCCTCCCCCGGGCATCTCCAAGGCCATGTCTAAGACGGTGCGGATGACTCTGGTCATAGTGCTGGTCTACACTGTCTGCTGGTGTCCTTTCTTCATTGTGCAGTTGTGGGCAGCCTGGGATCCAAACCCACCGGATCAAGGTCAGAATGTAGGCCCCTTCCATTACTTGTGGTAAACATGCATCATTCTGAAGCCGTTGATTCAATTGCATTGATTTTGAAACGTTAGTATCTGTTGTAATTAATACTGAATTTTACAGGCTTTGTATACTTGATATTTCCAAATGGGTACTTGAATATTAGCTCTCAAAATGACTCAAAAAATATTTGAAGCACTTTTTAAACCTCCATCTGAAAGAACAGGTACGCTTTTATTTCACTCAATACTTCAGTCCACACTGGCTGCCATCTCATCTTCCTTCCAAAACGTAATCCTATTGTTTTTCATTTGCAAGTGCGAGTGAAGAGTGAACTCCATAGAGATCCAGTCAAATCAGACACCTGTGTTGAAGTTAACAGGGTGGACAACATGGACAGGCTGCTGACTGGCTACAGCTGCTAAAGGAGAACCCTACACTGGCCACTTGTGATAATTTAAACATCTGGTATTTTTACATAAATTGTTATGGCTGTATTCATTTTAAAAATCAATAATGCGGTGGGACCGCGACCCTAGTTGGACTAAGCGGTTAACGACGATGATGATGATGATAATGCGGTGGGTCCACCAGACCACTGAGTAACAAACACATCAACACCACACAAGGGTTAAGACCACTAGAGGCAAGTTGAGTCAAGACCAAAATTTGGACATGTTGAGTCTGAGTCAAGACTAAGACTTTGTATTAGTTGAGTGTGAGTCAAGACTGAGACCAGAATAAGATTTTTCAGACTATAAAAATACAGAGAAGAAAGAACAGAAATTCTGTAGTTCTTTGTAAATGCATTATTATTCATTATACACAATACAAATGAATAAATAATATAGTTTATAACATTTTATAAAATATGAAATTAAATAATCTATAACATAAAAATATTATACATTTTTATAAAAGGGCCATATTAAAAATCTCAGCAAATCTGTGGGCCAGCTTTGTTTTTATTATTACGTACATTTTGCCATGACCTGAACGGGCCATTGTTTTGTTTATTCAAAACATGCCAAAACTGCAACAGCAAAATAGGCACTGAATACTTATTCAAAAATAATTCTAAATAAAAATAAATAGCTTTTTTTTAAACTGCCTATTTGCTTGAACTAGACACCAGGCATCCTTTCTTTTTGTGTAACCGCTGGCCCAGAGATGATTGTTGGGGGTCAGAATGCATACTATGTTGCAGTGCATGCTGGGGACTATAGTGCATCTCAGGGTAAAATGGGCTAGTAAGATTAATTATTAAAATAATTTCACGGGCCAAATAGGACTGTGTCATGGGCCTGACTCGGTCCACAGGCCTTGTGTTTGACACATGGTGCCTAAAGTCTACTAAATATAAACCAAACAACACACATCCATTTCATTATAGAGTGAAAACACGGTAATAATAACTTTCAAATTACTGAAACATGATAATCTTTTTGGTATGATAGTTTCAGAGCAGCTACTGGCTGTACTAACTGTTAGTGTGTGGAGAAGACTAATCTCTGATACAGTACAAACTTGTGATTGTGATTTTGTCTAAAAAAACATATTTTATCTGTGCTGTCAAGTTTAAAACTGCTGTAAAACCATTTAGTTGGAAAAGAAAGGGAGAAAAAAGAGCTAATATTCCCACCTGAATGGTTATGTGACAGAGCCAGAGGCAATGTGCAGGTCACGCATAAGAACACTATTACTCACATGTCTTTGAAATGATGTGTTAAACATGTCTGGAGTCGAATATTACCAGGTGCTTATTGCATATTTTGCACTGAGCATTTTTCTTATTGTCTGATAGTTTAACCCCTTAAAAGGCCAGGGCATGCTGGAGGGCCCAAAGCTTTATTACACACTTCTATAAACTAAGAATAGCTCAACCAGTTTGCATTGGAGTGCTTGTAGTTACTGAATAATAAACCTTAGTATGTAATAGAGGCAGTTGTGGGCTGGAGTCCTGGGCACCGTGGATAGGGCTGCCCAAAATCTGAGAACTTTATTTTGGCCAAAAACATGAGTACATATTTTACTGAATGTTATTATAATCCAAGCCTGCAGACCAAAGCTGGCCCAAATAGGATGTTTTATTTAGCCTGCCCGAATGTTACCCTAACCCCACCCCCTCACCAAATGAGAGAACGTATTTTTACACTACATATAACTCGCTCTAGGCAAGTGTGCTCACTGCCCCCTAGTGTGTGTGCGTTCACTAGTGTGTATGTGGGTGCACTGCACAGATGGGTTAAATGCAGAGATGAATTTCCCTGTTGTGGGATTAATAAAGGGTAACTTTATAAATACTCAAATTATTCAGTCCAGCGCTAATTACAATATATTATAACAAGGGTGGCCAAATGTTTCGGTGAAAAATAAAAATTTAATAAGTTATATATAGTGTAAAAATAAGTTCTCTCATTTAGTGAGGGGGTGGGGTTATAGGGGGTGGGGGGCAGGCTAAACAAAACATCCTATTTGGGCCAGCTTTGGATTATAATAACATTCAATAAAATATGTACTCATGTTTTTGGCCAAAACAAAGTTCTCAGATTTTACTCATTAACTGAGCAATGTTGAAGGAGCAGCATCTGGCTCTAACAGTAAGAACATAAAGTTTGGTATGTGTTTTTTTATTGTCCATATTCCATCACTATACAAATATTCCAGTTACAATTGTGTATTCAGTGTATTTTTAAAAAATAACCAAAACAATTAGAGCAAATCAAATCAAGGTGACATTGTCACATACTGAGTTGTTTCCTGAAGACCTGTAATTGAATCAAACCATTGTAAGGTCTGAGATTTACACCTCTCTGCATTACACAAGTCGATTTCATTCGGCTACTCGGTGCACCTGTACCCTCCTGGTGTCTGAAAACAGAGGTGGTGTATTTGTTCTTTGCACTCATCTGCCCTTTGTAGCAGCAGGCTCATATTGCAGGCGATAGCATATAATAAATAGCCTGCTTGCATTCCCACCGTTTGTTTTCATCTCTGCCAAGTGGTCTATAAACAGCCTGCAGACATCAAACATTTCAGCACACACGTTCGCAGGTAAACAGATTAAGTGAACAAGCAGTGAAGCACCCTCTCGTTGTTTGTCTGAAATGTACGCTTATAAAGCTGTTTTTATGCAGGTTTTATATTGGAACAATATATTACAGCAGCAAAACGTAGCTATGTCTATGCCTAACCCTTATATATACAATCATAATACACAAACATATATATATATATATATATATATATATATATAAAGCTGTTACTGTTACAAAACTATGATTTCAAAATCTCACATACTGCACTACAGTAAATCTAGTTAAACAGGCAAATTATGCACACTTTATAATGAAATGTGCATCTGGTCAGTTCTTTAACACCTTAAAATACCAGGTTTATTACATGCTACACTTTTTTAAAAGATGGTGCTTCAAGAGTTCTTTAGTAAAGAAAATAGTTTTATATAGAACCATAAACACTCAAAGAACCATTTGCACAATTAAAGTGTTCTTCAGATTGATGGCGAATGTGTTGTATAAGGTCCTATATAGCTCCAAAAATGGTTCTGCTATTGTTATGATGTCAAGCTTGTAACAACAGAAGAACACTTTTTGGTGCTGTCTAGAACCCTTTTCTAAAAGGTTCTATATAGAACCATTTACAACACATACACTATCAATCTGAAGAACCATTTCACCATGCAGAGAACCGGTTAAGCATGAAAATGGTTCTTTGAGTGTTCATGGTTCTGTGTAGAGGAGCCATCTTTTTGAGTGTAAGGCTTATTATTCAGTAACTACAGGGACTTTCTTTGCAAACTGGCTGAGCTATTCTTATTATAGAAGTGTATAATAAAACTTTGGGCCCACTGGTGGGCTGGGACCATTTAAAGGGTTAAGTACCGACAAAATCCACAATAAGCTCTGAAAAGCTTACTGTAACATAATTTATCATAATACTAATAAATATTGTCATACTGGCCACCCTTACCCCTAGGCTAAACCTCAGCAACCAAAAGGAAATCTTTTCATTTTTATACTAAAAGCTACAATTTGTATTTTTTTTTTTTAAATCTGCATTGGTTCCAGACAAATACTCTCACAAATGTGCTATTTTATTCTATTATTTTAAGGATATTTGGCCCCTTCAGAGAGACCAAAGCAGACAGACAGACACCCACACTGCCAGCTGTAACTCCACCTCAGTGTATAGTAATCTCATTGGCTGTGTGCAGTATTTACACCTCTAAATTAAAGTGGGCTTTTTGCACAGTTTGACCTGCCGGTCGCCAAGTAACCGGCGCATCACTAAACAGATGGCCTCTGAGCTGGCAGCATGAATGGTACCTTATGGCCAAGCTCTCATATTGCACTAATGACCTATTATTCCTAATACATCAGTGATGAACTCAAAAGAACCTTTCAGTCAGCTGGCCCTCTGGCTTTAATGCCTATATGCGTAATGCAGTTCCCACTCACTATTAGAACATATCTGAATTATTCAAGGCTGGATAAGTGCCATGGCCACCACAAGACTGGCTAACAGAGAGCTTAGCCGACCTGTTTCAGTGTTGAATGTTTCTGAACCAATGACATATTTACTTACAGAGGCTTTTCTTGCTTATTTGAACTGTGCCTATAATCCGTACATGGAACGAAACTGCCAAACGGCCAGTTTTGAATACGTCATGGTTGTGATGTCACAAGCATGAACACATTTTTTATATCTGACCAACCGTTCGGCCTGCAGCATTTTAGCCCACCCACTGAAGAGATAAGGAGTGTTGTTGCACAGTTATTGCCGTAGACGATGCGGGGAAAGCAATCAGCCCCTTGAAATCCCAGGCTTATCACATATTATGGCTTATTATTTAGTAACTACTGGGACTTGCAATGCAAACTGGTTGCATATCGTTGCTGTCCAAGGAAAACCATGTATATCCATTTTTTGTTGATTTTTATTTTTCTACATCATTTCTACACACCAGCTGTCCTTTATGCTGGGTAAAAATGTCACGATGGATGGACCAATAGAAATGCTCTAAAATCACTTGGAATAAAATCTCTTTACATTGACTTACATTGGAGTGTTTTGGCCTTCTCTTGTAAAGTTACTATTTAGGAGATTGTCTTTGGACAGCAACAATATATATTACATTGGGTTTTAGGTTTGAGAAGTGTGTAATAAAACTGCTGGCAGCCATTTAAGCGGTTCAATGTTGTGCTGTTCCTGGCTGTCAGGAAACTGATGTACCAATCCTGCCTTCCAAAGGTTCCATACATCCAAAAGAAGTGACTTGAGGTTATTACATTCATACAAACATGAATTATAACTACGGCTGGGTAAAAAATACTGGTTATGAGAGCATTTTTTCTTTGTACCAGCACTTCAGTGTGAAATTCACTCATGGCTCACAGAGCAACTCACTGCTGTGCATGTAAATGAGCTAAAACCAGGACTCTGGTGTCAGATAGCAGACTGACACGCACAGTGGTCATGCATTCAAAAATGGAAAGAAAAAAATATGCATTCTATGTATTTCATGGCTGTTATTGATAATTATCAATAAATCAATGGTATCAGTTCTAATTATTTATGGTACATGAAATCACACAAATGTTCTGAGTAAAAATGATAACACTTCTTTAAAATACTGGCCTGTTCCTCATGCTCTGATGGTTCTCTGTGCTGCAGGAGTAGCATTTACCATCCTGATGCTGCTGGCCAGTCTGAACTCGTGCACAAACCCCTGGATCTACACAGCCTTCTCCAGCAGTGTGTCACGGGAGCTGCTGGCTCTGCTGCGCTGCACCATACCATCACCACGCAGAGGCTCACTGCCCGACGACTCCACCGCCACTCACACCTCCACCACCACCAAGGACAGCATCTACTGACCAGCACACAGGCCACTCAACACACGCACCTACAATCAAGCATACACACAGGGACAACGTCACATTCAAATCCATCACCCTTACCAGTATGCTGATTATCACCAAACACACTGACCCTCACCAAGACATCCAAATACACTGACCATCACCAAGACATCCAAACACACTGACCATCACCAAGACATCTAAACACACTGACCCTCACCAAGACATCCAAACTCACTGACCCTCACCAAGACATCCAGTCACACTGACCGTCACCAAGACATTCAAACACACTGATCATCACCAGGACGTCCAAACACACTGACCCTCACCAAGACATCTGAACACACTGACCATCACCAAGACATCCAAACACATTGACCCAGACCAAGACATCTAAACACATTGAACATCACCAAGACGTCCAAACACACTGACCCTCACCAAGACATTCAAACTCACTGACCCTCACCAACAAATCCAGTCAGACTAACCCTCACAAAGACATCCAGACACACTGATCATCACCAAGACATCCAAACACACTGACCATCACCAAGACATCCAAACACACTGATCATCACCAAGACATCCAAACACACTAACCCTCACCAAGACATCCAGACACACTGACCCTCACCAAGACATCCAGACACACTGACCCTCACCAAGACATCCAAACGCATTGAACCTCACCAAGACATCCAGACACACTGACCCTCACCAAGACATCCAAACTCACTGACCATCACCAAGACATCCAGACACACTGATCTCATCAAGACATCCAGACACACTGACCCTCACCAAGACTTCCAAACACACTGACCCTCACCAAGACATCCAAACTCACTGACCCTCACCAAGACATCCAAACACACTGACCATCACCAAGACATCCAAACTCACTGACCCTCACCAAGACATCCAAACTCACTGACCCTCACCAAGACATCCAGACACACTGACCCTCATCAAGACATCCAGACACACTGACCCTCACCAAGACTTCCAAACACACTGACCCTCACCAAGACATCCAAACTCACTGACCCTCACCAAGACATCCAAACACACTGACCATCACCAAGACATCCAAACTCACTGACCCTCACCAAGACATCCAAACTCACTGACCATCACCAAGACATCCAAACTCACTGACCCTCACCAAGACATCCAAACACACTGACCATCACCAAGGACAGAAGCTGCTGACAAAATCAAAGATGTACATTGTCTCACACACATATAATAATACTTAAAAGTTTGGAATCACTTGTTATATTAATAATTGTTATTATTTTCTTCTATAATAACTTACAAAGTGTACATAAAATATTCTAAACTACACACCTGTCTGCAGGTAAACGGTTCTATTAAATGACACATTTTATGCTGTAATCATCTATTTATTGTAATTTCTTATCACATTATCTGCTTCAAATTTGATCACCACTTTTCAATGAGGCTGTATTCAGTATTATCAGTTTATTATAACTCCATTCTCAATATCGTACTGCTTTCTCAGTTATTATGGAATCATCTACAGCTCTGTTCATCTTCCTGGATACATGTAAAATGTTCAGTTTTTCCATGTTTAGCTTACTACAAATTCACTGAATTTGAATTTGTAGCATTATTGCATTATATCAGAAAAATTCTGTACATGCATCTGCAAAAAAAATCAGCTTCATACTATTGAAAACAGTGATTCCAAACTTTTGAACGTAACCAGCAATGAAAGCATGCAGACTCAGATACAGTTACAGTACGGTCCAAAACCAGAGACCACCCTTCATTTATTTCAATTCCAGTCAAAGCGGCCATTAAGTGCAAGTTATTCACTTTTCAGTGTCAGGAAAAAAACAGGAAACATATTTAACGGAAAATTACTCAGCCTCAGCAACTAAATACCTCCAAAGTTCAGTCTTAGAACTTGGTTGCATTTTCTGCTTTTCACAATTCAAGTATTTCAGTGATGTTGAGGTCTGGACTCTGGGTTGGTCAGTCCATTGTTTTGAGACATCAGCAGCTTCTTTGTTTGATTTGCGTTTTTTCTCAGTAACAGCTTCTTGACATCCATAGATCCTTTTATACTCATAGTGTTGAGTTGTCTTTTATAGTGGAAGGGTGGACAGAAACATCTGAAGCAAGAATGGAGCTTAATTTTCTCCTCAATCTCAAGCTTTAAACACTATTATCTGATGGTTCTGGTGGTCTACCAGGTCTTGCACGGTTGTTAGTCCCAATTTCTCTGTATCGTTTAATCATTTTTTGAACTCCAGTTGTGAAAAATCCTTGTTTTTCACTAGTTTTCCTTCCACTTTACCTTTCTTTATGTAAGTGGAGTATCTTATGTCTGATTTCCTCAGAAATATCTCCTGAAAAATTAATCATTTTTAATTTAATAGCCACTTTGACTGGAAATACATGCGTGATATGTGCACTCAGCGTAAACCAGACTCGCCAATACGAAACTCCAGACCTCCAGGGTGGGAGTCTCCTGACAGTGGAGTCAAAATAGAGTTGAGACCAAGTCTGTCACATGAATAGAGATTATAGCAACGTGTGGAGGGCCATGACCACTACCTAAAGCACAATCTACTGAAGGCGAGAAGGAGGAGGAGGAGGGCTGAAGAGGCAGACCTACAGGAAACCAGAGGGGCTCCACCATTTTCCCTTTCATCTTTCAAAGGAGAGTTCTCGACGATTAGCGACTCTGGATTATACCAAGACTTTCATTACCTTACAAGACGCAAGGAAATGTGACAGTGGGAGTGAAAAAGGAACGTTGGTGAATGTACACATGAAGACATAAGACTGGTGTACATGAAAGAGCTATGGCCCACTGTCAGCAAACATCATAAGACAGGAGCTTAGTACTGTGAATGTAAGCAGTGGAACAGGAATGCGTGTGCGTGTGAGTGAGTTCGGGGGGCGTTGAGGAATAAGCTGTGAGAATGTGACACATTGGCAGACGGCTGACTAAGAGAACAGCTCCAGACTGGTGGAGAACCAGCCACACACCAGGAGAGCAGACGCCACTGTTTGCCATCAAACAGAGAAGGAGGATGCTTTGGAATCCAGACGCAGGCGTTTGCCAAATGGATTCATCCACATTTTTTGAGTATTATTTTGAAAACAGTGCTGGGGAAATTGAATGAAGGTGCTGGGAGAAAAACAGAGCATGGGGCTGAAATATGTCCCTACTGTCCACTAGAATGTGCCATTGTTGGAGTGAGAGCTGAAGACCATGTCCAAATGAGGAAGACATTTGAAAGGACTGATGGCACACAAACATCACCAGAAATGTCCACCAGTGGACATTAATATTCTAGTAATAGTCAATATGGAAATGAATTTTCAACATTTTTGCATAATGTTTTGCTTACTTGAGATGTAGACAAAGTCATTCAGAGTGGTTTGATGTGAAATGGTATAGAGAAACTTACTGACTCAGACTTCTTTACAGTGGAGGTGATAGGAACCAGGTGTTACGACGTCTACAACACAAATATAGTCATTTTATTTGTTATTTATTATCCAGAACCACCAGAGAGTGTGTCTTCTGAGTTCCTATATATATATATATATATATATATATATATATATATATATATATAATGCTTATAATGGTAAAACAGTAGTGAAACTGAGAAGAAATTAGTTTTCTTTAGTTACTATTTTGCCTTAAAACTCCCTGCATGTACCCCTCTGGTATAAAAGGCTTTTAAAATATATTTTAGGCCAAAAGCTTCTTTCAAAACTATTGTTAAACAGCATCTAAGACATCACGCAACATATTCACAACCATAGCATTCTGTGATCGAACTTTTAGAGACAACCACTTCAGACGTCTGGTTCCATTTCCAACACTGTGAACAATATTGACTTGGCTAGTTGCTCTAGGATGGTGCATTTCACATAACTCTGAATGACTTTGTTTACATCTTTGTGACTGAATTATGCAGAAATTTCCCTTAAAGTGTACAAAATGTGACTATTGGATAATATAAAAAATTTTGCTACCATTTCTCCAGTGGCTACTTTACTACTGAAGATGGCACAGAACCAACAGGGTGGACATTCTTATTTCAGAATGAAAAGTTACAGGGTAACTGACATAACCGTTGGAGAAATGGTACCAGTAAACATTTTGGGAAGCCCATATAATTTAGTAAACAGTAAAGATGAAGGCCCTTGAGTGGCACATCCCCCAAAAAGCATTGGCTTGCAGATTAGAAATAAACCCTACTGATGGGCACCAAACTGCTCCATCAGGGTCCCTCACTATCCCCTCACCAGCCAGTCAAGCCACTGCATGGACATGAGGCAAAGGTCGGTTTCCCAGTCCTGGACTACACAACTTTCTGAATTGAGATTCCCTGTTGAAAGAAAAATGTAGTCCAGGGTTAGACTTGCTCTGGGAAACTGACCCCCAGTGTTTTAGGAGAATGTTGCAGTGAGGTGTGAAGACGTTTCATGTTTATAAAAGAGGCCAGTACAGCTTTTGCCTTCTTGTTGGTGCCAACAGAGCTGACCTGCCGCTCTAAAAACTGGCTATAACTAAAATTGGGGAAGTAATGGGTACAAATAAACTCCTTTATAAGGACTGTTAATTGTGCTGATATTTACATTCCATGTGAAATTATTAGTTTTAGGTAACATTTTATGTTAAACTCATTTGCCATTTGTCCTCTGAAGATTTAAGCAGGTTATTCCTAGCACTACACTCTTTACAATGGCCAATCTCCACTGACAGTTCCTCAGTGAAAGACTCATCTGTGTCCAAGAACATGAACCCTACACATAGCCAATATATGTACTATACCAGGGGTGTCCAAACGTTTTTCCAGATCAGACAATATCAAAATACTTGAGGAACAAAATATTATTTACAAATGATTCAAAATAGCAAATTTTTGAAATACAAAAAGACAACCCTGATCAGCAAGGCTGCCCAGTCATCTTTCTCCCTGGAGAGTTCATATCCATCACACCTGACTAATATTCAAATGCCCTGAAGGTCTTCATTACCTGGATCAGGTGTGCTAGATTATGATTGGAGCTGAGCCCTGCAGGCTGGAGGATCTCCAAGGCCGGGATTGAGCAAGCCTTATGAAGAGCAGTTAACCAAACCAAGCATCTTGCTGGCAGTCCGTTCTGATGATTTGTCAGTGTT